TCTCTCCTTGGATCTCTCTCGTCGGGTCTCTCTCCTGGGATCTCTCTCGTCGGGTCTCTCTCCTTGGATCTCTCTCGTCGGGTCTCTCTCCTTGGATCTCTCTCGTCGGGTCTCTCTCCTTGGATCTCTCTCGTCGGGTCTCTCTCCTTGGATCTCTCTCGTCGGGTCTCTCTCCTTGGATCTCTCTCGTCGGGTCTCTCTCCTTGGATCTCTCTCGTCGGGTCTCTCTCCTTGGATCTCTCTCGTCGGGTCTCTCTCCTTGGATCTCTCTCGTCGGGTCTCTCTCCTTGGATCTCTCTCGTCGGGTCTCTCTCCTTGGATCTCTCTCGTCGGGTCTCTCTCCTTGGATCTCTCTCGTCGGGTCTCTCTCCTTGGATCTCTCTCGTCGGGTCTCTCTCCTTGGATCTCTCTCGTCGGGTCTCTCTCCTTGGATCTCTCTCGTCGGGTCTCTCTCCTTGGATCTCTCTCGTCGGGTCTCTCTCCTTGGATCTCTCTCGTCGGGTCTCTCTCCTTGGATCTCTCTCGTCGGGTCTCTCTCCTTGGATCTCTCTCGTCGGGTCTCTCTCCTTGGATCTCTCTCGTCGGGTCTCTCTCCTTGGATCTCTCTCGTCGGGTCTCTCTCCTTGGATCTCTCTCGTCGGGTCTCTCTCCTTGGATCTCTCTCGTCGGGTCTCTCGCCTGGGATCTCTCTCCTCGGGTCTCTCTCCTCGGGTCTCTCTCGTCGGGTCTCTCTCGTCGGGTCTCTCCCCTGGGATCTCTCTCCTTGGGTCTCTCTCCTCTTAAAATTCGTCTACTCATTTCCAATTTATCGCCCAACATGATACTTTTGCCCATGTCCTTGTTCCACCACACATTCCCAATTTACACCCCAACATGATACTTTTGTCCTTGTTCCACCCGCCCCACTATACAGCCCCACTTTACACTCCAACATGATACTTTTGTCCTTGTCCTTGTTCCACAACTAGACACATGGGGCTATTTTCACAACTAGACACATGGGACCATTTTCACAACGAGACACATGGGACCACTTTCACAACGAGAACACATGGGGCCATTTTCACAACGAGACACATGGGACCATTTTCACGAGACACATGGGACCATTTTCACAACTAGACACATGGGACTATTTTCACAACTAGACACACGGGACCATTTTCACAACTAGACACATGGGACCATTTTCAGAACGAGACACATGGGACAATTTTTACAACTAGACACATGGGACCATTTTCACAACTAGACACATGGGGCTATTTTCACAACTAGACACATGGGACCATTTTCACACCGAGACACATGGGACCATTTTCACAACGAGACACATGGGACCATTTTCAGAACTAGACACATGGGACCATTTTCACAACTAGACACACGGGACCACCAAACAGCTGCTCTGATTATCACAAGTTATGTTGCACCTCAATGCTTGCTTTATCAAGTGAAACACATATTGTACATAGAGAGTACGTTCCCCTGGTCTTTGACCCCTGATTAGTGTCAGCGGCAATCAACATGTGTGTGCTCTAGAAACTCTAGAGCGGTGCTTCCCAAAATGTTTAGAGCATGCAGCTATTGCTCAGTGTTTTAGTTTTCAATATACTAAATAAAAACTGTTCATAAGACCATCCTCCCTTATCTAGTCAAACGGGACCATTTTCACACCGAGACACATGGGACCATTTTCACACCGAGACACATGGGACCATTTTCACACCGAGACACATGGGGACCATTTTCACACCGAGACACATGGGACCATTTTCAGAACTAGACACATGGGACCATTTTCACACCGAGACACATGGGACCATTTTCAGAACTAGACACATGGGACCATTTTCACAACTAGACACATGGGACCATTTTTACAACTAGACACATGGGACCATTTTCACAACTAGACACATGGGACCATTTTCACAACTAGACACATGGGACCATTTTCACAACTAGACACATGGGACCATTTTCACAACTAGACACATGGGACCATTTTCACAACTAGACACATGGGACCATTTTCACAACTAGACACATGGAACCATTTTCACAACTAGACACATGGGACCATTTTCACAACTAGACACACGGGACCATTTTCACAACTAGACACACGGGACCATTTTTACAACTAGACACTTGTGACCATTTTCACAACCAGCAACACGGGACCATCTTTACATGTAGACACATTGGCCCCAATATTTGCCGGGCTCACGCGGTTGCTCAGGGTGCTTACCAGCATTTCTTTGAAAATTGTTCAGGGCACATGTGGTACAAAATAAAGCACATACTTTTCACTTAATTCTGTCAAATAATGTGCCAAGTAAATATGGGATGATCTTTATATGATCTTTATGTAACTTAACGTCTTGGCTCCTGTTGGAGTAACTGGCTGGGTGGGTGGGGATCGGCATACTTATGCCCCATTATAAACATTGAAGAGATTTATTTGATTCTCGCCCTACATAATCCAGTAATGTCTTGATTGAGTTTTCTCAGTCCTTTGAGCCATTTATTCACTAAATTAACTTCATTAAAAAATCCAATGAACGCGTCTTAAAAATTGCTACCAACTTTCCCTATCAAGTTACATTAATATATTAGTGAAAGGAAAAGACATCCCCCCATTAAAAAAAAATGAAAACTTTCATCTAAAAAGTTGATTTAAGTTTTGAACAATTTTTAACACCTCTCTTCTCCAGGAGACCAGTACTGGCGGTATACATTGAACCATGTGGACCCTGGCTACCCCAAACCTATGTCGGTGTGGACCGGGCTCCCGTCACATATTGATGCTGCACTCAAATGGAAGAATGGCAGGACCTATTTCTTCAGTGGAAATCTTTATTATCGCTACAATGATGTAGATTTCAATGTATGTGCTTCAATGATGTAGATTTCAATGCATGTGCCTAACATTTGAATAGCTTAAAAAGCAAAAATGTATTGAGTGGAGTTTTATGTACTGGTACACACTATTTAAACTGAATAAGAATATAGTTATTTTAAAATACGGGTAAAAAAATCTTTTTTTTTTAAATGTCTTACTCTCTCAATTTACTGTATTGATTGGAATGAAAAAAGAAACCACAAAGATATATAGGCCCTACCCGGTAATGAAAATGACATTTTTATAAATTTGAACATATGTAAAAATTAGTTCTTGTTGTCATGGCAACAGATTGATGCATCTTATCCACGGTCCATTGCCAACTGGTGGCTTGGGTGCCCTGACAATGAACAGATCCAGGCAGTCACAGAAAAGACGGTTAAAAAACAGAACCAAACCAGGTCAGGAGCAGGACTGTTGCCCCTAACAACAGATCGTGATTTAGGGAAGACAACATCCATCCCTCATGAAGCAGACTCACCAAATGAAGAGTTCCTCTCAGTCAGGGGAGACAATGGTAACTCTTTGGTCCAGTTTGACGAGACCAACACGGCCATATCTCATTATATCTTTCAAACACCTCATCTAATGACCGTTGTTTTCATTATTGTTACTGTACATACGAAGATAACTCATTTCATCAGTTGATATTAATTCAGTCATAATATAATAATGTACCTTTTAAAAATATTAAATTGCATTTTTTGGTGCATTTTGCTCACTGTAATTGAACTGGGAGATCAAATAAATGGTTTAATAAGATCAGCACATGAATAAGGAAGAAACCTGCAGGATTGATTATAGTGGAGTGGAGATGGGAGGTTAGAAATGAGGTGGGGATGAGAGGTTAGAAATGGGGTGGAGATGGGAGGTTAGAAATGGGGTGGAGATGGGAGGTTAGAAATGGGGTGGAGATGGGAGGTTAGAAATGGGGTGGAGATGGGAGGTTAGAAATGGGGTGGAGATGGGAGGTTAGAAATGAGGTGGGGATGGGAGGTTAGAAATGAGGTGAAGATGGGAGGTTAGAAATGAGGTGAAGATGGGAGGTTAGAAATGGGGTGGGGATGGGAGGTTAGAAATGGGGTGGAGATGGGAGGTTAGAAATGAGGTGGGGATGGGAGGTTAGAAATGGGGTGAAGATGGGAGGTTAGAAATAGGGTGGAGATGGGACGTTAGAAATGGGGTGGAGATGGGAGGTTAGAAATGGGGTGGAGATGGGAGGTTAGAAATGAGGTGAAGATGGGAGGTTAGAAATGGGGTGAAGATGGGAGGTTAGAAATGGGTTGGGGATGGGAGACTAGAAATAATGTGAAGATGGGAGGCACACCCCTGGCTATTAGTACATTAAAAATTCAGAATAAAAAATATGTTTTTTTTTTAAAATTAAAAAGATAAAAATGTTAGTGAACCACCCCCCCCCACCCCCCCCCCCCCCCCCCAAAAAAAAAAAAAAAAAAAATACTGACACCCCCCCCCCCCCCCCCCCCCGACATTTAAATAGAGTGCCAGTTGCATTAAATGGAAAAGAAAAAAAATGCAATGTTTCATAGCCATTTGGTCTACTCTACCATAAAGAATCTGGCTGAATGGAAAATACATTCAAAAATTGTTGACCAAGAAAGTATTTTTTGCAGAAGAAATGTATAGTTCCACAACATAGAGATAAGCAATGTATAGTTTCACAACATAGAGATAAGCAATGTATAGTTTTACAACATAGAGATAACCAATGTATAATTTCAAAATCATACAGATAAGCAATATATAGTTTTACAACATAGAGATCAGCAATGTATAGTTTCAAAATCATACAGATAAGCAATCTATAGTTTGAGATAAGCAATCTATAGTTTGAGATAAGCAATCTATAGTTTGAGATAAGCAATCTATAGTTTGAGATAAGCAATCTATAGTTTCACAACATAGATATAAACAATGTATAGTTTAACAACATAGAGATAATTAATGTATAGTTTAACAACATAGAGATAAGTAATGTATAACAATGTATAGTTTCACAACATAGAGTTAAGCAATGTATAGTTTCACAACCTAGAGATAAGTAATGTATAGCTTTATATGTTATGCAATGTTATCTTTTATATTAACACTGCATGATGTAAAGAATTTTTCTTGTTACCAGATTTTTTTTTCTCTTTTTTTTTTTGTCCCCATTCTTCAAAATGTGCAGGTGAGGTGTAGCACACATACAAAGGTAAGAATGTGTTTGAAGCAAACTTTTCCTAAGGTAAAGGTTGTTTTTTTTTAAAGAAAAAAATTGCCTGAAACAGCTGAAAAAGTTCTCTTATTGATTTATTCTTGTTGGGAATTAGAATAACTTTCTGAAGTTAAGCAAACAGTTTACATTCCCAGGGTTGGTATTACTTTTTTTTTGACTGCAGGCAGTTATCTATATGTCTATGACAGCTTTTTTTTTTTAAAAAAGGAATTTGACCCCATTCATAAGAAGCTACTCTGGTGTCTTCCTACATTGAATGCTGTTGTTTTTATTTCAGAAAATGATCAGATTCAGCAACAGCTAAGATCATGTGTTATATATAAGTGCATGGAAACACATTTAAAAACAAAAAGCATGCAGGGATTTAGTTTTAGGATTCTCAACAAGTGAGAATTATCATGCTCAGTCTCAGCACCACGTGTCACTTGTGAAATTCCTCATCTTCACAGACCACAAAATACATATTTTATACCGTACTTTTAACTTCAAATCTTTTGGCCGTTTGAAATCTGGTGGTAAAGTAAAAAAAAAAGAAAAAAAAAGAAAAATCCTTATTTCTCATACAATGATCAGAGCCCTTTGGAAGAGAACTTACCCTTCTCATGCTGTCATCACCAGTGGTTTGACTGAAAAAAGGGAGAGAATTCATTTTTATTGCACTTATAAACGAATGTTAAAAGTATTGTTCCCTTTTCCTTATTTTTCTGAATGAAAATAAATAGCCATGCCATAAAAAAATAACCATCCCATTGGAAACATGTATTGCCGTTTGGAAAAAAAGTTTCTATTTTTGTCCATAATATAACATTTGAAATGGAATAGGAGATGCCTTCTATTATTGTATTTGTAAGTCAAGTCAAACAGTTTTTATAAACTTCATTTTACTGTCTAGTCGGTGAGTAGTAGTGTAAACTTTTCAGATAGTTTTTATTTATTTAAAGAGAAAACGATTCTAAGGGACCAATTGTATCATGTTGTTGAGCCAAGCTACACTAGGAGATAACATGTTTTCTTATGGTTCAACAAAAGGAGTTCATTAGTTTATGGTACCGGCTGGTATAACACTGGAGTCCTTGTTTACATAGAAATGTTGACATTTTGTAATGATGGTCTCCTGGACTTACCCAAATGTTAACATTTTGGAACTATCAGCTATTTTATTTAGTGATTGTTTTTTTTAAAAATATATATTGTCGAAATTCAATGTTTATTATTTGGTTAAAAAAATGACCAAACCAACCCACCTGTGAACACCAACAAACACAATACTCTTGAATTGAACACAAGAATATTTGAATGGCATGATTTTGTCTTACTGTTGGGCTATAGTTACAGTGTATGAAATAATGGATGAGATCCTTTTAAGATGCTATACATTTGAGGTAGTGGCTGAACATGTGTAGCAGGGAGTAAGAGGAAAACCCTGGTGTTTAGGTTTAAGTCAACTTAATGGAATCATATTTGGTGGGTTTTTTTATTTTATTTTATAGTATAGGATACTGAACATCATCATTTTTAACTTAAATTAATGTAGCATCTATATCTTCAGGACAAGTTGAAACCAAGACTGAATAATGTGATGGTACCACATTGCTGTCTTAATGGCAGGCATTTTGTTTTATGTGTTTGCATGTTGCTACTCTTGAGCCTTGATGATCACATAAAAATGATCTTTTTGTGATGTATTAAATGTTACATTTACATGTACCTATATATAACCCGAACCAATAATTCACTGGTAGTTTTATGTTCATCTATTTTTTTTTCATTACCGACCCCTGGGCCAGATTTTGTATTTAGCTAAAATCAATAAAAGCTCTTATATAGACATTACATTTTTAGATCAGGAAGTTTTCATAAAAGTAAAATAAATGATCTTTGAATCCTATACTGCAATCATCATCTCTAAATATAGCCCCTGGATTAACAGGTTATTCTGTGGCTGTGCAGTGTTATTTAGGTGACCCCTATATTAATTTATTTTTTAAATTTAAATTTTGATGAGAGAAATGGTTATCAGGTGACCAGTTTAGTCTATTTTTAGTTATTTAAGTTAATTAAAGTAATAAACTAGGAGCAATGAATGACAATTAGAACAGGGCCAAATGGATTTCAGTTACAGTACCTATTACATTTTGGTGAGAGAATTAAATTGGACGAACATTCAGTTACTCAAGGTATTTTTTAACCATTTCTGTCAAGAGTGTCCTCATTGTTCAGTAGCATACTGTGACTACTCACTTAACAGATAGAGATGGTGTTGAACTCTGAGGCACAGCAATGCCAAACATTATTTTATTTTTAAATATTGGCCATGATTCATTTAATTTGTGGGAGACCTCGTGAGATAACCCAAGACTTAAGTATATTTTAGGATTTGTTGAGATTTCAAATGATTTCATTCAAGCATAATGATTAGGTCTATATTATTAATGCATGATATGTCAATCACCATTTATTTGTACAGATTTTTAAATTTTTTTTAAGTCTCAAAACTGATTTTTTGGGTGTCTTTTACAAATTTGTTATATTTTATAACAAAAATTAAGTATAAAATAAGTGCAAGATTGCCAAATGTATAAGACATGTATAAAAATGTTATTTTATTACTGTAAAATATTATCAAAATGATATTGGTAACACATTACTTAAGAGCATGTACTTGCCTCTTCCATGCTGAAGCAGTAGATCTATTTTTTTCTTTATAATGTCAAGATCAAAAAATTATTATTATGTTATGTACTATGATTTCATTAAAATGAAAATGCCCATGTATTACCTTTAAAGGAATTCCAAGTACACATACATTTATCTCATAGTAAGGCAACAATGCCATATGAGACAACTCTCATAGTAAGGCAACAATGCCATATGAGACAATGGGCATACAGCCCTGCTAAATTTTCATAATAGCAGTTACATGTGTTGTTCATCATGACATAGTATTTCATTTCAATTTTTAAGATCATAATTATTTATACCAGTATGGATACACAAAAAAGAAGAATCATAAATGTTTGCCAGTCCCCACTTTTGTGGCTATCAACTTTATTTTGTATGTTATGCAAGCCTTCAATAAATTTTAACATTCTATTCTTGAACATATAAACATTATAAAAAATATTCTAAAAATAGAAGCATTCTTTATAGGATATAGCTGAGGGATATTTAAAAGGTATTAGTTCTTAAATAAATGTACAGTAGTGTAATAAATATTTTAGCTCAAAAGAAACATTTTTAAAATGTTGTTCGAGAATGTAACTTACGTTTTTCAAAATTTGATAATTGATAAGATTTTAAGTACTTTAATTCAAAATAGTGTTGTAGGATAATGATGGGACACCATCAAATATAAAGATATGTGGTTGGCCATGTAAAGACAGGTGCATCACAGCTTGTGAAATGAAATAGTATGTGTGCCTGTGAGTCATATGGGTGACAGAGCAAAATTTCTATTCAGTGTCTGGCTTGGACACATCCAGGACTCAATCATTTTTGGGTGCTTACATTGTGGTTTCTGCAAGATGGAATACTTATTGAACTGAAGATACATCGTTTCATGAGGCCAACTCTGTACAAGTCCTCCACAAGATCTTACAACCCCCACCAAACCAATTATCATCTGGGAACTCATATGCATGAGGTCAAAGGGGGGTGGAGGGTGTTTGTCCATAGACCCATCTCAAAGAGTTTATACATTTTTCAACATTCTCAATTTTAAGATTTATTTTACTGGTCATGGAGTTATTTCTCCTGCCTGCCAATGTAATGAGTTTGATAGCAATACATTTGTGTATGACACACTGTTGGCACAAAGATCTGAAAACAGACTGCTTGTATTCAAGTTAATTAAATGAAATGGGCCTATTTGAAAATGCTTGTCTTAAAATAGAAAGTTTATTAAATCAAATGGGCCTGAATAATTATTTGAAAATGCCTGTTATAAAATGAACAAAGTTATTTGATCACCCAAATTTCAAAATTTATTTTTAAAAGTTTGAAAATTTTGTGTTAGTGTATTTAACATTTCAATTGTTTACCCATTATACTTTGGAAAATTAGAATGTTGTCAGTATTTTGCCTTGTTGCTGCGTCAGCTCAATAACCATTGGAGGGGACATGACATGAATAAATACATGAACTATAATAGCGATCTTAGGTTGTTGTTTCTTTTCATAATCTCACAAATATTAAATTCTTTAAGGTTCCAGATGGTCATTAATTTTTTAAATATCACTTGACACCAGGATCATCACAGTTTTGGTAATTTATTTTATGATTACACCAGTCACATGAGTTAACTTTTCACAGCGCTGGATATACCACAAACATCCACCATTTCAGTGAAAAATTCAAGATACGTTTTCTTTTGTGAACCAGATGCTGGAACAAAATGCCCACCAGGATGCGTTAAACACTTAGGGTCCTCAAAGTATTGTAGAAGTTCCTCACTCATTTCTGCTGAGACAATTTGATCACCATCACCATAGACGTGGAGCGTGGGTATTGGGATGCAAACATCCTTTGGGTAGTAGATTTCATGGTTGGAAGACCTGCTTTTGAAGCCTGCTATGAGCACAGCAAACTTAAACCAGTTTTTCTGTCCATTCTGCTGCATTCTGCAAAGCATGGAAACAAGGCATGCACCCTGACTAAAGCCTAGAATTCCATCAAAGTTCCCATCCTTGGAGTCCTCAAGGAATTCCACAATCTGGTCAACAGAGGTTTGAAAACCCTTTGATACATCACTGTATTCAGTTGATTTAAAGTAATCATCTTCACGGGAAAACCACCAACCTCTTTCTTCTGCTTTTTCATCAGGAGGATTATCTGAAACAGGCTGGCCTGTCCAAGCAGCACTTCCAAGATTTCCTGGAGGAACTTTGTGAGGTGCAGTTATGTAAACAATTTCTGCATGGTTTTTCAGAAGTTTCCTGAAAGCACCTGTTTTATCTTTAAAAGTGTGTGCATTTTGACGATAGCCATGAATGCAAAGAATTCTCAGCTTTCTCGTGGAAGCCATTTATAAATCAGAATTTATTAAGAAACTCAACAACTGAAAATTTAAAAGTCAATAAAAAATAAATTAGCATATTCAGTTAACATAAAATGGATAAACAAAAAACTAGACCAACACACTAGTAAGCTCCCTTCCATCTAAATTCTACTAGTAAGCCCCAATGTCAGCAAAATAACAATTACTTTTTAATTTTTTTATTTTGAATCAATGTATTTGGCTGTCACCTCTTAGGTTGCCTATTCAGGTAAATTGTACTATAGTCCTGTAAGTAAAATACAAGGGTAATAAGGGGAGAAAATGCAATCTGATTAGCAAAATATGAAATTAGTAAAACAAAGTAAGGTTAAACCTGAGAATTCATTTGCTGCCCTCTTGGATACTACTTCTAAGCTAAGTTGCTATTAATTAATTTTAATTTTATTCTGTTTTTTTCTGTTTAGTTCGATGACGAGGGCAGGCCTGCCGACAGATATGTTCGTTGTTTTGTTGTGTTTCTTTTTCAGGTTTAACCTTACTTTGTTTTACTAATTTCATATAAGTAAAATATACAATTTGCGTTTCTTTTTCAGGTTCAACCTTCCTTTGTTTTACTAATTTCATATAAGTAACATACACAATCGCTGTACACCAATTCCTAATACTATAGCCTATCTATTAGGATATTTGGCAGAGAGCGACACTAAAATAAATACCATATTTTTAAATATTACTGCATAGCCCGTAACCCGTGGTCTCAGTATGGTAAAAGAACAATTAGGTCTCTAGGCCAGGCCTGCACAACATACGGCCCACTTTGTGCCCGCGAGGTAACGAAAAACTCTTTATTATTATTATTTTATTAATAGCTTTCCCCCTGACATATATTCTTTTGGCCCGCAGAAGTGCTGTCCTATTTTCTTTTTGCCCGCACAAGTTTTTCATAATGTATTACAGCCCGCCTTACATTTTAAATCGGTCGGGTTTATTAAAAAATATTATTGTAAGACAAAATTTGGTATTAATTGAAAGATAATTGAATGGACTAAATGTTAATAAACTTGATTCTTCAGTATATCAAAAATTAACTACCACAAATGACATCCAAATAGCATTTAGTCCAAAGGGATCCGGGTCCGAATAGAGCGGCAGCGGGGATGCGTGTCCTGATTCATTGTGACTAAATTACTAAATCAAATGCTATTCGGTCGGATGTCCTTTGTGGTATTTTATTTAAAATTAAGAATTAAGTTTACAAACATATATTCCATTCAATTATCTTTCATTCGACACCAAATTTTATCTTACAAACCCAATAAAATATTTTAAACATTTTTTAATCCCAACCTCTCACTTCTGGTAGTGTAGCCGAGTCCGAAAAGCCACTTCAATTAAATTTAAATGCCTACACTTTTTAAGTGCTAGAAAATTCCTTGGATACATCCCATAAACAGTGGCTTAACTACATAACATCGCATCCTCTTTAAACTTACTCTTTTAAGTTATTCACCATCGATATATATATACAAAAAGGACACGGATTTTAAGTTGACAAGAGGTATTTGTAACACGTCCATGATTTCATTGTTTACATCCGGTTTGGCCTATGTTGCAAAATTACATGTTCTTTCCAAATAATTGTAGTCCATAAATATTTTGTTGGGTGGTATTTTTTATTTTGTATGAAGACATAATTATAATTTATTAGTAATAGCCCACCAACAATAGCGGTGGCAATGCACAAACTTACCATCTACTGAAGCGACTAGATAAAACATACATTCATATAATGCACTTTAATAAAAGCGCATCAATTAGTGGTAACTTCTGGGAATTTAATTTTTTTTTGCGCCAAATGAACACAAATGTTACAGATACAATTGCAGTGTTACAGCCATAAATACCCTGAAAATTATTATTTGTGATATTACATACAGACAGAGGCGTGTCGAAGGGGGGCAGGAGGGAGAGATGGCCCAGGGCGCCAGACTAGTTAGGGGCGCCAATATGTGCGTTTATATTATTTTATTGATGAAAATAATGGGTTGGAGAGTTGAAAAAGAGAGCATTAGAAAGGGAGGCGCTTTAAAATAAATCTTGTCCCTGGGTACCAAACACTCTAGCTACGCCTCTGATTAAACATATCAATTGCAATACAAAATTTATTTTAATCATTCAAAACATTTAGAGAAATATTTAAAGTGTTTAAAGACTACTAAGTGTAAATCGCTATAATTTATATACTATAATTTATTTCAAAAGAATAATTTGCCCGAGTCCCATTTTCATATAAAAACAAGATTAACTGATTTAAATTAAATTTGAGGGTGGTTGGCTTCTTGATGTGGTCGTCCACATAAAGTGTATGGTTATAAGTATACGACAGGCGTCTACCACCTTCCAAATGACACCCAGAGTAAGACAAGTGTAAAGAAGAATAACGGAAATGTATAAAAAAAATGTAAGGAGAAAAGGATACACTGAAATAACGAACGTGTTGGCAAGATGCCATCTTCAGCGAACAGTACACACAAATGGAATATATATATAAATGAATGTCTGTATGTATGTATGTCCCGTATGCGCTCCTACACCATTCAAGCGATTGCGATAAAACTTTAGTGAGTTGTTGTCCACAAGCCCTCTCATTATTATAAGACATAACAACCTTTGTAAAATATTCCGTTTTGAGCCATGGCCCAAAGTTTATATAGCTCATATAAGAAAAAACGAATTTCAAACCGTATGCGCGCTTATATCATTCATGCAATTGCGATACAATTTTGGTGAGTTGTGGTCCACACGCTGTCGCACTTTTCTAAGTCATTGCAACCCTTTTAAAATATTCCGTTTTGGTTCCTTGGCCCTAAATTCTTTTTTTTAAGGAGCTATATAATTATAAGACAAATGCACTTTTATACTAATAACGTCACATTGGAGATGGCGTCGCTGGGTCGTCGAGCGTGAGCTCTTAATACCCGCCCCCAAATACGGACCGACGCCGGGTCTACCCGCCACCAGACCGTGCGGAAGCACGTCGGGACCCCCCCCCCTTGGCCTGGGGGACTCCGGTCGACTGAAAACGCTGCGTTTAAAGCGATCTAGGTCCACTCTCCTTGGGTCTGAACGGCTTTGCTTTCTCTCCGGGTGAAAGGTGTTGCGTTACTTCCCCCCACCATCCAGGTAGTTGTCCGGTCGGGACGAAAGCTGGGACAAAACGGTCGCCTAAGAGTGGCTTTCTCAGGGCCGCGTAGCTAAAATCATCGGCACTGGTTTTAACCGCCACTCAGGCCTCATATTCATGAACGGCAACAAGTCATCATGTTGTTACGTTCCTCACGTTGCATTGGGAGTCTTGCAAGTGGCTGGATTTTTTTTAGCTTCAGGAGGACAAAGCTTCCCTACTAGTCTGCCACGCCACGAAGAGGCAAAACCCCAATGTGGACGCCCCCAACTTTCCTCGGAGACAGCACTCCTCTACCATTCATCCGATTGCAATAAAACTTTGGTGAGTTGTTGTGATCATGCCCGAAAAGGTTTCTGAATTATTACAACCATTTAAAATATTCCATTCTGAGCCAAGGGCCCTAAATTCCTTTCATCTTATATGTGCTATATAAATATAATTTCAAACAGAGCTAATGCATGGCTGGATAGAATTTTTAATCAAATACAAATAGCGACATTAAATTTTGTGTTGGACATAATAATTAGGTTTCAGAAGTAATGCAACCACTCTACCGAATCCCGTTTGTGGCCGGGGGCCTTATTTTCGTTATCCCCTTTAAATTATTAACTATATAAATATAATTTCCGTATGCGCTCCTATACCATTCATCAGATTGCGATAAAACTATGGTGAATTGATATGCGCCCGCCCGTAAAGTTTTCTAAATCAGTGCAACCATCTTAAAATATTCCGTTTTGGGCCGGCGGCCCTTAGTTCGTTGTCTCTACTATGTGCCGTCTAGAGATAATTTCAAAAAGAATTAATGCATCGGTGGATGGAATTTTAATCAAATACAATCAATGGCAACATGTCAGTGTGTGTGTGACATAATAAGAACGTTTCTGAATTTGTATAACCAGTTTACGGTATTCCGTTTTCGGGGTCGGGATCCCTAAATTGGTTTATTTTATTAAATGAGCTGTAAAAATATAATTTTAAACCGATCTCTTATAATGCATTAGTGCATAGAGTTTAATCAAGTACAAACTGCGTTATTTCCGTTTGTGTGTGACATCATTTAGTAGATTTCTGAATTTGTACAACCATTTTGCAATATTCACTTTTGGACCGGTGTCCCTAAATTAGTTTTTTTTCTGATATGAGCTTTTTAACTATAATTTTCGTATGCGCTCCTATACCATTCATCTGATTACGATAAAACTTTGGTGGGTTGTTGTATGCACGCCCGCAAAAGCTTTCTGAATAGGTACAACCGTTTTACAATTTTTCCGATTGGGGCCGGGACCCCAAAATGTGTTTATATGTACCAAATTAGCTCTATATATTTGTTTATATGTACTAAATTCGCTATATAAAAATAATTTCAAACGTAGCTATTGCATGGGTGGATCAATCGCTACACGTGTGTGGTCTAAATTTTGAACATCCATGCTCCCCACATGGATAGCTGTGTGTAACCTGCTCACATGGACAGCTGTGTGTGACCTTCTCACATAGACAGCTGTGTGTAACCTATTCACACTTCGAAAAACCTTCTAATTTATTCGATTACGCACCGGAAGGTAAAAAAAAAAAAAAAGAAAAAAAAATGATGTATATTAAAAGTACTTAAAAAAAAAACATAATTAAAACACAAACACTTGATTTCTTTGAGCGACATTGCAACGCCATAACCTATTCACACTTCGAAAAACCTTCTAATTTATTCGATTACGCACCGGAAGGAAAAAAAAAAAAAGAAAAAAAAATGATGTATATTAAAAGTACTTAAAAAAAAAACATAATTAAAACACAAACACTTGATTTCTTTGAGCGACATTGCAACGCCGGGCTACTCGCTAGTATACAATAAAAAAAAAACTTGGCTGAAATGTGGTTTTAACATTGAGGAAGACGTGTGAATGAGTGAAATATTTGCAATCTAAAATATTACTTTGTAATGTTTTTAAATACCCCGTACTCCGGTCCAGAGGCGTACCGAGGACCCATGCACGGCATTTATTTTTCTATTATTATTTACTAAAGATCTAAACTATAGATACAATGGCAACAAAGTTAGCAGACAATTGTGGAGAAATTTAGCTTAGTAACTGTGTGTAAACTAACGTATTGTACACTAATACTACTAGAAAAATTCTTTGTCCGGCTTTCCGATTGTGTGCCCCTTTCCGATTGTGTGCCCCTTTCACGTGTCGCCCATGGGACGTACCGTGTCATGCGTCGCTCTCGATACGCCTCTGTCCCCGACAAGCTGGGTAGATGAGAAGAATTTAATAACATTTTTGAAAAAAAAAATTAATTAAAAATTGTTTGTTCTAGCTGGGAATTTAAATAAGTCCGATATATGTTGAATGAAAAAACTACAAAAGCAAGCCAATACAGAACATGCCAAAAAATAACAAAACAATAATCCAAATCACAAGAAGCCAAATCACAACAAGCCAAATCACAAAAAGGCCAAAACTAAAACACGGATCAGATTTCGCATCTATGTTCTACAAGCTATATATCATTCCTTTTTTGAGGGGTTAATAGCTTATCCTCAAAGCATGATATACTGTCTAAGAACAGTAAGTGAACCCCTTCAATCCAAGCCCCTAGCGACTACACTCCTCAATTGACGATCCTTGTCCATCAAACCTTCAGCGTTCTTGTTGCCCCCCCCCCACCCTCCTTTTAAAATCCCTCCCACTCAAGTTCTGTACTTAAANTCCTTTTAAAATCCCTCCCACTCAAGTTCTGTACTTAAAACGTCTCACTCTGGCCTAATCAATCAAATTATCCCCCCCCCCCTCTTTCAGAAGGACCAAATTATTTCCCGCTCGTGTTAAATTATTGGCAAATTGTTGTATTCCAGAAGATCTCGGTGAAATCTTTCCTCTGATCAAATCGATTCAACTGAAACTGCACGCTTTCAGGGCAAAGAACTAATTATGAACCCATATTCCGTCTGTCGACAAGTACAACCTAATGACAGGGCGGACAGTTGTGCTTCAAGCTCTAATTGGCTTTGATCCTTATCTCTCGTCATCATTGCCACGTTAAGTAGTTGATTCATTGTTTGTAAACAGTTTGTTTAGAAATGTCTGTTTTTTTTTTAAAATCATGCAGTTTCAAAATTATTTTTTGTAGACTTGTTAAAAAAAAAGCCTGTTGAATTTATTAAAGGGTAATGACATAGTGTTTTATGCAATCGAGATATTTTCCAAAAAATGTACGATTGAGATATGGTGGGTGCCTGGAGAGACGGTGGATTGAGAGATGATTGGTTGAGAGATGGTGGTTTGAGAGACGGTGTTTTGAGAGACGGTGGGTTGAGAGATGATGGGTTGAGAGACGGTGGATTGAGATATAGTGGTTTGAGAGACGGTGGATGGAGAGATGGTGGATTGAGAGAGGATA